TCCATAAAATTTCAAAAAAATCAAATTTTCCAACCCCTTCCCAGGGCTCGATTTTTTTCAAACTTTTATACATTGTAGAGTTTTTAATGCCCTTTCAACCTGTAGTAATAAGAAAGTGGCACATCGTCGATAACACGTAGAAAAAAAATAAAAATCCATAAAATTTCAAAAAAATCAAACTTTCCAACCCCTTAAACTTTTATACATTGTAGAGTTTTAAATGCCCTTTCAACCTGTAGTAATAAGAAAGGGGCATATCGTCGATAACAAGTATTTAATTTTTGGCTTGGTTGCAAGACCAGAAGAATTTATATTAAGCAAAGATCTTTTGAAAATGCTCAAAGTTATCTCCCGAACATTTCGTAAAAATCTAGAACGTCTCATATTAGAACTATCTAAAATATTATTTGACTGTATTGTTATATCTTTGCTTACAATTTAAACCAATTCTGCTCCATAGAGGTAAATATGGCAAATATTGTTTTACTATACAAAATGCCAAATCTGGATTAAAATAAACATTGTTTGAATCAGTTTTTTCATCATAAATTTTATCATTAAACAAAATAAAATCAACAAGATTCATAAAATGTAAATAATATTTGCTTCTTTTTTATAAAGTATTTTCATTTAAGTTTAAGTTAATATTACGAAAATTTTCGCCCTCTATGTCGCAAAATTTACTCTTTATTACAGATAATCATCTTTTTAAGTCAAAGTTGATGCATTTTATAAATTCTTCTTCAGCTTTAGTTTCAAAATTGTTACTTTTTCAACTAGTTCCTCAAAAACGATGCACAAGACACTAATTTAATTGTGTTCTTTCTGAAATTCTTTCTCATTCATGTTTATTTTGTATTCTTGTCAATTACAAATTGTGTCTACATTTTAACGGGCCCTTTTTTTAACTTTGACATTGGACGATTCTTGGACGATTAATTGAAAATATTTAATAAAAGAGTTTACTTCAGACTCCAAACGTAATCTACAATAAATCGAAATCGATCTCGTAGCATTTAATTTATAAAAAATTCGCAAAAATTTATCGTCAAAGTTTACAGATGCCTGGTAGGGATTATTCAAAATCCCTATTTTTTGATTTCAGCGTTGTGCAGTCCTCAGTTTAAATTAAAATATCTTTGAAACGGCCCATTTTAGGGGTATTAAAGGTTTTTTATTCGAAATTGATTACTCTATATATTCGGGCAATAAAAAATTGGTGTTAAGAGAGCAAAAAAATGGAAAAACACAGAAAATGTGACCTGCAACTGCTGGAACCGGAAATTGAGTGGATGTATCCGGTTTTCGTGATTACCAGTTTAAAGGGTATGTTGTCACAGGGAAATGTTCCAAATTTTATAATATTTGGTCAAATAGTTCCAAAGTTATTACAAAAAAATTAAATTTCCATACCCACATTCCGAGGGCTGTAAAATTCTTATCACTAGAGATAGGAAACGAGTTATTATTTAAATTAACATCATTTTATGGATCATTTTTGAGGTTCAAATATTGCTTCATATTTATGAATAACCCTGTATATAATGACGCCATATTGGCAAGATGTCCAAAGTAAAAATGTCTAAAGTATTTCTGTCCAAAGTAAAATGAGCATCCGTATTTTTGTCCACCGTAAAAATATCCAAAGATTTTGGTGTTCTTTGCAGTACCAACCTGATAACAAAATTACCAAGTAGTTTTTATGAATTTTAATTTAATGCATTTTTTATGACAACAGGCGATATAATTTTTTTTTATACAGTCGTTTGTTACCAGTCAATTTTTCTTTTTATTTTTGCGCAGGGGCCATGTCTGTCAATACTGCCAACAGCCAAACATGTTCCTAAATTGTTGGACCTTTTTACGGGTGCTGATTTCTCTTTGCATCATTTTACGTTGATTTTTTATTTTACGGTGGACAATTTTGTATGCGTAAGATCTTTCTTGTAGAGAAATAATAATTCTTTAATTTAAAAGAATTACAATTCAAACTATACAGTTTTGCATATAAAATCACAAAGTTTGCATTCAAAATGTTACACAAAAGTTGAATTTTGTTGTATAAAAAATATAAACTGAATTTGTTTTTGGTCAAATTGACAAATTAAAATTCGTAACAATTTAAACATTTTGATGTTCTAATAGCAAAAAACTTAAACTTAACATTTGTCCATATGCCTACTAATTAAAAAAAAATAGTTTTGTTACTATTTTTCTTTCTACTCTGCGTTCGTACTAAGGTTCATTACGAAACTGTTTTGGCTTTTGTAATGAACAAAAACAGTGCTATAAAAATTATACTAAAAAGAGGGAAATTTAGTGATATAATGTTGGCGACCTAACCGTTTTTCCATCGAACTGTCAGTGTCAATTAAATACTGTATGATATCTCGTTTATAAGGCATTTTGTCGCACTTACTGCTTTATGACTCGCTGCGCTCGTCGTGTCCTAAACACTTGAGTGCGACAAAATGCTTCTTATAAAACTCGTATCATAATATACTATTTATTATAAATCCAGAAGTGAAAGATGAAATATCGTTTTCTATATTTATTAATTTTTTCTCATATTTACAACATTTTAAACAAAGAAAGAAAAAAATATTTATTGCCCGAGATGAGAAACATTCTAAAAGTAGTAATTTTAGTCTTCGCTCAATAAAAATGGAAAAATTCTGGGGAAAAGTTTTTGTTCTTTCAAAAACTTATTTGCATGAAGTTGTCTCTAGTGTTGTAAAAAAATATTATAAAACATAAGGCGATTTAACAACTGTAGTCTGAAAGCGCAGCTGAAAGGCGTTTTTTACTTTGATTCACACTGTAGATACAAGAAATTCAAAAAAAGACATCAGATCTTATTTTCGAAATGAAAATATCAGTTATGAGAGTCTTGAAAAAACAAAAACACTTTTGTATCAAAGTATACTGAAATTCAGTTCAAGTTGTTGATTTCTGTGACCGCGAAAAAATAAAAATCCAGCTCTTGTAAATGAACGTTTTAAACATTTTGGCCAAAATATCAAAACTTATAATGGGTAGAAGGAAAAAGATGAGTATGATAACACGCATTAAGTTTAAAAATATTTTATTTTATCACTCGCCTTTACTCATACAGTCTGTTTAATATTACGATAAAGAATTGAAACTATAATACAACCAACTTAGAAATATGTACACAATCATGATTATCAAAGAAACCAGTTAGTCCTTTGGGAATGTAAGAATATAAACAACCAACAGTAATGAATAAATATTTTTCAATGGCTTGCGGGTTCTCAAATTACAGAAAAAAGCAGATGAATTGATATTTTACGATTATAATATTTATTGTATTTTCAAGTTTTACCTACTACTAGAGGGAAAGTAAAAAACAAGTTTTGTTTTATCACTAGAGGGGCCTATTCTATATAAATTAGTTCAAGAAGTATGCGTGTACAAATCACAAATTTGTGCAAACGTTAAATTGTGAAAAATGGGCAAACAAATTTGTTCATGTGGCCGACATGCATACTTCTCCATATAAATTTGCACACAAGTTATTATTTTACATGGGGCCTTCTATGATACTGACTTTCATAAAGCAATAATACATACTACGAAGAAGCATCACTATTGCTAAAAGAAAAGCTCCCACATATAAAACATAAATTCCGTTATGGTGCTTGGCATATACGTAAGTTCCTGCCGTTGTTCCAATCCCAATGCATAAAAATATCACGGCTAAAATAAAGAATATGTTACCTCTTCCTCTTGCATAATCAGGACCCACTGACGATACTTTTCGACAGTGGGGGCAACGTGCTAACGCATTATTTAGCGTGTTAAACTGGAAAGAAAGACATTTTTGTTCATTTCATACCAACAAAGAGAGAAATAAAAATTTCAAGATGAATAAAAATGGCTAATATCTCGAAAACTACTACTGATAAAGAAAACTAAATTCGGAGTCCTTGAATAATTTTAATTAAAATAACAATTTTTGTGACCCTAAAAAAATAATTGAAAAATTTAATAAATATTTTTAACGATATCTCGAAAACTATTAATGATAAATACATATTCAGAATCCTTGAACTATTCTGCATACGAAAAATGAGTTTCGGTCCAATTTGTTGAATTCTCTGACCGAGAAAAAATAAAAATCTTTTCCCGATGAACGATTATGACAATTTAATAAAATGCTAAATTTTGGCCGATATTTCGAAAAATATTACTGACAAAGAAAAAATAAAAACATACTCGGAATGATTGAACAATTTTACGTAAAGAAACTTTTATTTTGCATTAAAATGACAAAATTTATGACCTTGAAAAATTATAATTCAAACATTGACAAATTTTATAAAAAAATGTAGCATGTTTGGGTGATATCTCAAAAACTATTAATGCTAAATAAAAACTAATTARATATTCGAAATTCTTAGACAAATCTGCATAAAAAAAACTAATTTCGGTCCAGTTTGTTGATTACTGTTAACGTAAAAAAATAAAAATTCAAATTACAAATTTCAGCCAATATTTCGAAAATTAGTACTGATAACGACATATTCGAAATCCTTGAACAATTTTAAATAAAAAAAAACTCTAAGTGTGAATAAAAATAAAATAAAAAATTAGTAAAAATTAATTGAATTAAAAAAAATAAATATTTTTAGATATTTCGAAAACTATTAATGATAAA